GCGGTGAGTACAGCCGGAACTTGGGGGAGGTAACCCCACGCCGGACAGGGAAAGACTGGAGAAGCCGGTAAAGGGGGCAGATAACCTTCGGGATCCGGGAATCCCTGGCCGGGAGCATTCAGTTGTTTGGTTTTCTATTTGATTTCTGCACCTCGGACGTGCCCTCGGTGACGAGAGGGACGCAGGCGGCCGAGAGCCTGGGAGGTACGGGCGAGGGTGTAGGGGCGGCGGAGCCCTCGACAACACGGGACCCCTGAGGGAGCAGAGTCTCATTTGTGGACTGGTACGCCCCGGATTTTTCACTGAACCAGTAGATCATCAAAGTCGTGGCAGGCGGTCCGGAGGAAACCAGCCCACAAACGGATCGAGGGAGGAGGAACACCTCGGGGACAGTCCTTTACCAAGGGGAGCGGAGGAGTCGGCACGGAGGGAAGCGACCGGCGCAGCGCCACCCTTGGACAGACTGTTTCCATTTAGTTACAGTGGTTCTCAGGTGAGCTCCTAACTCTCATGTGTGCCTTTGAAAATCACTACTATCTCTTTTGTCACAGTCCCAATCAACTCAACAGGCTAAAATGCTTATTATTCACTACGTGCAGAAAGACAAGAGGAAAGGAAGAAGAAATGGGCAGAAGCAGCCCCAGAATTTCTGTGAGATAACACAGTAACCTATGACATTTTCAAAGGTCAAAGTTAGTTTTCCAGAGATCAATCTTCAAGGTCCTGAGTACCTCCTGTGAGCTGCTGTAAGATCTCAGCTCTTAATGACTTCAAGTGATACATGACAAGGCAATGGGAGTTGGAGGCAAGTCAGCAGCTCACAGGAAGCCCAGAATCTTGAAATGTCAGGTTCTTACATTAAAAAGAAAAATGAATGACACATGATACCCATAAATTGCTAATGACCATTTTTCCTCCTTATTTACAGTATGAGTGTAAAATGAAACAACCACTTAAAATGAGAGTTATCACAAACCAGCAGACATAGCTTACTAAGAGGTCAGCTCTTGAATATCCTAGTTCAGGACTCCTGTGAGCCACTAGTGCCATCACTAAGAAGCTGGCATGGACTTTTGAGAGCTAGGCAGCAGACTCCCTTTGATTCACACAATTCAGCATAAACCAGTCTGTGTCTCTGGTAGTACACTATTATTAGCAATGATTCTGCATGTGATGATAAAGAGTACCTGCATATCATTTGATTCCTCAGCAGCTGTTTTCTAAACCAACAATATGGCAGTATGTAAATGTTAGTTTTGTGGACAAGTGCAAGACAGGGTTCTGCAAATAACACTTATAGCTATTTTCTTAATTTTTTATGGAGAATTAATGGATAAAAAATATAAACCAGGCTTTTTACATATATAAAACATGTTATGTTTGTTTAAGGAAACATCAGAGATTCTGATCCCCATTAAAAATCCAGGAGTGTATAAGGGTCAAAGCCTGCTCTCACTGAAGTAAAACTACTGATTTCAATGAGAGGAAAACTGGCATTAGCAGGGGTGTCAGTCTTTACACTGTCAGCTTTAGCTATACTCAAAACTAAGAAAAAGCTATTATTTATGATTAAGGCTTTTAATGTAATTGGAATTAGACATTTTTTCTTTAAAAGAGCAGATGCTCTTTTTAGTAGTAGTAAATATTGGTTTCTATTGAGGAAAATTAGTATTTTTGACTCTTTCCATAAAGAAATTAGCTTAATCTGTTCTTAGTTTCAAATATTCATTGGTATATGCCAAGTATCTTTCTTGCTTAGTTTCAAAAGGAACAGTAGGTAAGTGATATGGAGTGGACAGCTGGTGTTGAATCCTCCCTACTAAAACAACAACAGGAATAACAAGAAGAAAACAAAAAACCTTGTGCTGATGCTCCACGGGAATCTTACAAAGAGTAGTACTGTGTTTAGGACCTACTATTATCCAACACCAATCAATGCTTTCATTGTGCTTTTCATTCAAGCACTCTGGAATGCTACACCTCCCAAGGTAAAAAGGTTTACAAACTAATAATGAAAATAAATCAGATCTAAAATGCAAAGTTTAAGAACACAGTTTTGGTGAGAGAGGGAGGAGGTATGATCTGACCTCATGAGGGGTAATTATTCCAGAGCTTGGATTGTAAACAAATATTGCTTGTTTCAAAGGAGTAAATATTATTATTTTAACTAATACAAGATTAATAATGGAAAAATACAATTCATGGCCAGAAGAGTAAACATATGTTCATTACGATCGGTACCAAATGGACAATGCCTATGAAGTCTTACGGAGAATCCGCACAAATGTAAGCATCTGAGAATTCAATGGTATGAGACAAACTGTTATTTCTGTTAGGACAACAGGTCAATTTTCTGCAAGAAGATACATCCATATATATATTTTCCATACCAGTATTTCATTATTTGGATTTGATCTGCGTAAACTCACAAAGAACGAAAAAGACAGCAACCACGTTGATAGGGATTTTGGTGAGTAGCAAATGGGAATGTATTTGCAGTATGAGGTTGACTTTAATGGCCTTCAGCCTTGTCTCCTGTGTGTACCCAGTCATAGATGACCAAAGGAATGCTAACGAGGGAAAATACTAATCCCAATGCCAAGAACAAAAAAGCCTGAAATAAAAAAAGAACAAGTCTTTTAACTAAGGCAACTTTGTTTTGTTAAGCAAATTCACAAGTTGATATTTCAAAAATACGAATTAAAACGAAGACTCTCTTTTGGGTAGTGCAAAAACAAAGGATACCTGAATTTATTAATGTCACCAATATAATTACTTATTGAGCCAAGAAAAGGAAACATTCCTCTGCCCTCAGTTCACAATTTCTGCTGCAAGTGTTGCATCCCAGTGACTTGGTCTGAAAAGTACTGAATTGATCTTTCCTGGGGCCCACAACCTCTGCTCCTTAACTAACCAAAGGGCTCACTGAAGACCAAAGGAAAGCATTCTCATTTCATCAGGGTCAATTTCTATTGCACTTTAGTACTTGTTGGTTTACGGAGGTAGAGAATAGAGGCACATGTGAAACCAAGACATAACTACATGCCTGGAAGCTATTGCAAACCTAGCTGAAACAAAGAAATCGAATAAAATTGCTCCAGATTAGGCCTCTGCCATTGTCATATGAATAAAGCCAAAAGTATGTTAACAGAAGGCCTGATTCACAAGTACCAAAAGTACTCTCAGCAACTCCCAGAGAGTAAATAGATTACATCGGCATTGAAGTAAATTCTAGGACATTAGCAGGATCTTCCTTTTAGAAGTCCAGTGAAAAGATGCAACACTCTGCTGAGATCACTTTGTCACAGTTCCACATGCTTGTACATAGCTGAGAAGCTAGAATTTCAGTGGCCTCCTTATGTAGGGGTGGCAACCAAAACATGATGAATGTGAAATGCAGTAAACTTCAGATTCTTTCAGGCAATGTGTTGCAATGGGAAATGCATAGAAGGCTAAGGTAGCAGTCTCTCCCTCCCTGACTTCACAGGACTCAGAACTTTGCTAGGTTTTATTGTTATTTGTTTTGTAATAGCTCCAAGCAGATCAAGGCTCCTTTATACTAGACACTCTACAAACACATAAGGATACATGATTTTGTATAAGTAGAGTGACCTTATGTCCTACTTTGGCTGGGACAGTCCTGCATTTTGTAGGCCATCCTGGGCGGTTGGTGAAAATGGAAACAGAAGACTGAGATAGTGCCACCCAGTCTGTGCTGCTTGGCCCACCTCCTCCTAAGCAGCTAGAGGTTGGGGGTGGGCTGGGCCCCACTTCTCCTGGGTGGGGTGGGGATCAGCTGAGGAAAGGGCGAGGGGGATCTCCTTAAAAATATGGTCACCCTATGTTTAAGGAGGATTACAATTTAATTTAAGCAAAACGGACCATGAGAGCATGTGGCAAATAATCGGAGAAAATAAGAGAGGAGGAAGGTATCTGAAATAGGTGGACATGCATGTTCAGACAGCCACATTAGATCTGTTCTCATTCTGGTAAATTTTAATGATCTATAATAAAACATACCCAAATCCTTTGACTCTGTTTTGCTCCGTCCTGTTGTGTGATTTTTAAATATAATGACGAAGGAAGAATGAAAATCAGCATATTGGCAGAAGTTACCCCTGAAACATGCAAATAAATTAGTTTTGTCATTGTGGAATTTCACCTCAGTCAATAGCAGCTTTCTCAGTAGCAACATTTATTAGTAGGCATCTGTTTGTTGTTTGAGACAACAGAATTGCATCGGGTGAGACATCAGCTTGCTGAATGTAATCCTTGCTTGAAAGATAAAGCAAAATTGGAGTGACCTCTCCAAAATGCAAAAACCTGGGTAGTGTATATGAAAAGACTGAACTACCCACATACCAGGGTTCCCCTCGTGGTTTGCTGAGTTAATCTAAAGGAAAGGCAGGTGCCAGTATGTGTGGAACCAGCTTGGCTGCAGGAGCTGCCATAGCAAAGGAGATCATTCATTTGCCCATCTATCGGGGGTCCACTGCTAGAGTGGCTGCTGAGCAGGATTAAAGAGCCCAGTCCACCCCATCATGGAGTGGACTTGTTTTACAACCTTTTGGCAGCATTTCCTTCACCAGAGGTAAGACTAGTACCCCCTCTCCAACGTGCTCTTTTGCACAAAACTATTGGCACCTTAGAGGTTGCCAGATTATTTAACTGCCACCCAGCATTTGGCATTAACAGTCGCAGGCAGTGCTTACAGGTCTACTGTAAGTTTTGGTACAAGTGAACCTGACCTGACCTGCAGTTAAGAATCACACCCCTAATCAAAACACTCAGTACAAAGACTACACAAAGGCCAGACCCAAGGGACGTCTCTTCAAGGAACGGATTTAACGTAGGGGCTTCACACCCCCTTAATGAAACACTGACTCTAAGAAGGCTTCTTCTTGCAGACTCTTTCCTAGGCCATAGGAGACTTTGTTGGCCACCTTTAAATGGGAAGAAAGCCCCCCAGGGACTGCTTAATGGTCAGACAAGAATGTAATGAGAAGCAACTATAAATATAAATAGTATAAAATTAAAATACTGTACCTACAACTCCAAATATGTCTTTCATGGTTGGAATAAAAATTACTAGCATATTAATAATAACCAACAGGACAAGAGTAACCAGCACATGATGGTGTAATTCAATCTTGGTTTTTTTAGCCAGCTCAAATAAAGAAGAACGCACCTGCAGAAAAAGAATGAGTTCTGTCAGAAGCAGGATATACCATTCAAGCACTTCTCAAACTAATTCTTGCTGATGCTGACCATGACAATGAAATTTGTGTAGACTTCAGTAATTCTGGAGCATTCAAATATAGGATCTTTTGGAATAACCTTTACATTTAACTTGATATCTGAAAACAGGATTAGAGTGCTTGTGTCTGTGTTGGTATTTTTCCCCCAAAATAATATTTATTTGCAGCAGTGGGCTATGTTACTGCTGTCTGTTTAAGTTGCAGAATTAACTAGCGATATTCTGACAGGCTATTGAACAAGGGAGCCCTCAGGCCCAAGCTCTTCCAGCAGTGGGGACTATAAGAGGGAGCAGGACCACTGGCTGTTTAGATACTCCCCACTCAAATTTATTGCTGTTCTGCTGGAGTTAAAAACTCAGGTAATTTGTATGAGTGTAATTAAGCAAGGCTGGGAAAGAATGGAGAAGGACCTTTATCATTTAAAACTGACTTAATACCAAGTGATAATTAATTTACTTTGATCATATAGCAGTTTATTAATTCATGCATGCAGAACTCCTTTAAGTCAAGTTCAAGTGGGTCTTTGGAAAAGCTGACTACAGGTTCTAGTCTTTGTAGCCTGAATGTCACTGATTCTGAAACTCACAACATCCAGCTGTGCTTTTGAGAAAGGGCGCCTATTACTGAATGTAACTATTTCCAAACTGCAAGGAGCCTTTTACTTACAGTGAAGAAAAGCACTGGAACCGTAAGTATTACTGCAACAATTACAGCCACTCGCACTGTCAGGATGAGGACATCACCTTTACTCTGGTACTTGTGAAGTAGATTTGACCCCACAGTGTCTATAGGAAACACAACAGAAAAAGTGGTCAAGCAAACAGGCAATTAATTCACAGAAACCATCACTTAACAGTTTTTGTGAACAACAAATGATTTATCTACAAACAAGAGGGCAGGGAATGAAACAGGCTGGAGCATTTTACACTATGCTGAAATGATCCCATTACCTCAATTTAGGAAAGCATCCTAATTCAAGAAAACATATACCTAACTTTATGCAAAATCCCATTGTAGAAAAGGCAAGCACTATGTAAGGTAAGCACTATGGTTTTTATATATATTTTTAAACGAAAGACAAAAAAAGAGGCTGCTGCTATTTGGGTTTTTTTTCCTGGCAGTTTAAAATGATATAAAAATAACCACATGCACTGCAACTTCTGAATTTATACTAAATTATAAGGTTGAACTAAACAAGTCCAAACAGCAAATAAACTGCTAAAAGAAAACAGAACAGCCACTCCTGAAGAAGAACAAAGCCTCTTTTAGGTTAACCTTTTTCCTTTCAGCATGACATTTCTTCAGCCACACTGAAGTTGCTATCTAGCTGCCCTGGGTGGCTGCCCTCCCTTGCTTTTTTTACGAACCTTCCACCCCACCTCAACATCACTTGCAGCTCTTGCACCTCTGCAGCCACCTCCCGGAGTCCACGTTCCATTCTAAATGCTGCTAACCTGGGTCAATATGATGGTGTTCTGACAACATTTCAACAAGGTATGCCACAAAGGTCTCCCTTCCCCTGTGATAACTGCTAAGGACTTGGTGTACTTGTACTCTGGCAGACAGGAACGAACTGGAGAATGTGTTAATTTGTTTACACACATTCATAACTTCTTATAACCAAAACCAAAGGAAGCAACTCCACAGTGCATAATGAGTATATTACAAAAGGGGCACAATTTGTTTATGGAAATAAAGTTTTATGTCACCTGATGGTACCCCTAAAGGTACAGTCTGGATAATCTGAGGTAAAGAGTTTTCATGGAATGCTCTGAGGAGATTTGCCTTAAAATTGAGCTCTCGCTTGGTGTAATCTGGTCTATTCCTGAACCAAAAACTGAACAAACCAAAATCTGCTCTCCAGAAAAATTTCTGAGTTTCAGGGAAAAGTCCTTCCTATCATGGACCACCTATCGCTATCCAGAGAGGATGTGAACCCTGTCAGAAGAATGGAAGTCCTCCTGAATTTCCCTTCAGGTAGAGGTTGGAATTTTAAATGGGGCTGTTACATTTCCTACTAATGCCCAAGTTTAAGTGACATGAGGCTCGTACTCCCAGCAGGAGCCCAGGCTGATGCCTCTGCATCTCTCCCCAGGTCTAGCAGTTAGTAAAGCAAAAGGCAAAGTCTGAAATGCAAATTCTGGTCACCACAGAAATACACAGATGCGCTGTGCAATGCAACCACAGTGACCTTTAGAAAAAAACCCAGTTCCTGGAACAGTCCTTCTACAGTGTAAGTAGAATAACTGTGAAAACTTGAGTATATGAGCAAATAGACACACAGTGCTGGTTTAAAAAAGAAAAGGCCAAAATAAAATGCTATTTGTGTCTGTGAAAAGCATCAGCATAGACAGTTTTTCACAGAGTCAGGAAAAATCCTGGGCCTGTGCTCATGTCAGCGGGGGACCATGCCCCAAAATGAAGTCTTTGGCTATCTGGTGATCCCTGAGAAAGTGATGGCTCAAGCCAATCACACTGCTTTCCTTCCCCACTATATCTACGCCGCCTTCAAGGCCTTGTTTCTGCATTTCAGTGTGCAGATGGACTCCACCCACACACCATCAGTATTTATGAACCTAAGTCTGAACTGGGGAAAGGGGCACAAAGGATGCAAAAGCACTACATTTCCCTTTATCACACATTTCTGGAACCTGTAGGATCAGAAGGACACAGTTTCTGTCTCTTCTGTGGTCTCCAAACCTCTCCTACATGAGGGAAGAATTTCAAGGAAATTTCAAGAGGTGAGGGCCTGGACTTCATTTGCTTTCTCAAGTCTCCTGGGAGAGATCTTCAGCTCCGTTGAAATCAATGGAGTAGTACTGATTTATACCAGCTGAGAACCTGGCTCACTGTGCCACTTCTGCAGGAGGGTACATTTGGACCCATAGCTTCAACAAATGTTTAATTTTCTATGAAAACTTACTGGTTAGCAGCAGCCCAGCTGTTGGAGAATGGCTATCAATGTTGGCTCCTGCAGCATATGCACTTGGCTTCATCAATTTCCTCCATTAAACAGAATTGGACACCTCAAATTATGTAAATTTCTGAAAATTGGAGGCCTCATACCCACTATGACAGCCTGATGGTAGAAATTAATATGTTCTTTAGAGGATGACAGACAGAAAAACTTTTGGTGACCTATGACCAAAATGTCAAATTTCAAATTTGCTTTTTGTTCCTCCTAGAATCTGAGGCCCATAAAAAAAGAGTGCTGCTCTGACGGGTAGTTGGAAATAGGGTTTAAAAAAAAAACTCTTGTGACTTTTTGCTAACCCTTCATGGAGAAGTCAGATGTCAGAGTTACAATATCCCTCTTCCTGACCTAATGGCCCATGATGTGCATGTGTTCTAAAATTCAAGATTTAAACTGTACTGGAACACAGGATCTGCTCCTGTTGCAAGAGTGATGCTGTATCTAATTTTTATTTTTTTATTATTATTTTGCATAATCCTTTTGAATGGGAAAACGGACACGATTTGTGACTCTTAAATATTTTTACAAAGTGATTTAGCATTCCTAAAAGAAGCTAGGTTGAAAGTCCTGTACAAAGAAGTATCCTACCTTTACCCACAAAACTGTATTTTCAACAGGAGAACTGCAAAATTCCTAAGACTACACTGCCTATTTATTTAACCAAGACCTGAAGAGAGGAACTCTTCAGGGGGAACAGAGGCAGCTCAGTTTTTGAAAACATTCAGTTCTTTACCTTTATGCTAAAAGTGGTAATAAAGCTGTCAGCAGCTGTGGGAGTGATTTTAATGACTATTCACCTTGAAGTATGCTCATTCTAATTTCACACAGAAAACTTAACAGCCAGTCAAATGACTTAATAGCTTTAGGTCATTACTGACCCGAGTTAAATTCAAACTAGCATTTCAGTTTTGGAAGTCTTAATATCACACTGCTGACCACCAGCTCCTCAAAGCAAAACTAATTTACATTATACTTCTTCCTGATCTCTCTTCTCTCTCACTCTTGAGGATATATTTGTCAGTGCTCCTTGCAGCTACACTTTGTATCCATTCAAAACACCAAGATTAATATGTTAAGAAAACATTTACAAAAATTGAATGGAAGAGTCCAGTAAGGTGAATGAATGTAAATCTCCCTTCTGAGGTAGGATACACTACTTATTTCATATGGAGTCTTTTTTATTTTGATACTATAAAAGTTGCTTACTTACCATAGAAAGTCAAATAGCCAAAAATGGCGGTCAGAAAGTACATAATGAACATGGCAAAAAAGGAGATGTTTGAAACCATCTGCATTTTTTTCTGCGAGCGGCTGGAAAAAGAAAAAAACCCACAAGGAACATTTGTACTGTATTGAAATAACTGTTAAAAAAGTATCAAACCTGTGTCAAAACACACTCAATAACACTGCTAAGACTCCTGAATACATCTTCATTTAAAACAGAGTTCCCCCCCACTAGCCATACTGAAGGAGAAAAATGCCTTCCAATCTTACTAGGGTTTCAAGTCAACAGAAGCTAACAACTGTCCTGTTAGAGGTGTGTAGCAGAACATAGGGGTGGCCATGACATCCCCTGGTGGCCCAGCAACTCCTACCCCACTCAAGCTCCTTGGGGTACCCTCCATTTTTACCCTGCCTGCCACTCCTTGATGTAACTTGTAGGGTTTCAGAAGGCTGCCTCAAGGGTCCCAGAGTGAGCCCTCAGCCCTCTGGGTCCCTGATTCCAAGTTAGGTTGCCTTCACTACATGTGGCCTTAGCCCTCCCAGCCTTGGTCTAGCTCCTCCAGCCCTCAGGGCCCCTGGCCACAGCAGGTGGCTGTTGCCCCCACACCAGTCCTCACCTTCTGGGTCCCCAATCCCAGGACAGACTGCTTTCACTCCCTGTGGCCATAGCCCTTGGCTTAACTCATCCAGCCCCTGAGCCCCTGACACCAGGTCAAGCTACTTTCACTGGTCTTAGCCCTCCAAGCCTTGGCCCAACTTATCCAGCCTCCTGAGCCCCTGGCCCCAGTACAGTTGTTGTGGCTCTGCCCCAGTTCTCAGCCCTCAGCCGTTTGGGTCCCTGACTCCAGGTTAGGCTGCTGTCACAGACTGCCCCAATAGGCACCCCTCCATGGCCTCTGTCCTCCCCTACAGCCACCACTTGGTCCTTTGATTCCAAGCCTAATCACAACACAAATACCAGCAAGTCGCTGCACAACTAACATCCACCCCACTTTGGGTTACTGTCTGCCCACAAGCTGTAAGTCCCCTTTAGGTCTCTCCTTCCATCTTTATGGAGCAGCTTAGCTACCTGCCAGTCTGCCTCCAGCAGCCATTTCCCTCAGGAGCTCCTCTCCCTGCAGCATGCAGGACCACACTGTCCACTTGGTCTCAGGCACTGGGTTAGGCAAACCAAAGCTCTACCCCTTCCTGTCATGTGACTCCCCAATCACACACAAGTATTTTCACTTTGGCTTACAAGCCACCTGCCCTCCTCTGCTGCAGCTTCACCTAGCTGCTTACAGCCTTTACTTCTGGGCTGCCTGCCCCTTGACTGTTTGCTGTAGTGCAGTTAGCTCCCTTTAAAGTAGCAGGGGCCTTGGGCTTCCTGTTGCAAGGTGTAACTAGCAATTTTGGCATTTCAAGCAGAGATATTGTCAAGTGTCAGAATGCTGGGGAGGGATGCTGCTGGTATCCCCTCTAAACCAGTGCCTAGGCCCGGTGCCCTGCTCTAGGTATGCCAATGCCTCCTTATACTACTCTTCTGAGCAGCACAGTAAGGGGCAGCTTGGAGCTGTAATTCCATTTAAGGAACAGGAAAACAGGAGAGGAAACTCATACCAGGAGAAAGCATTTCAAATATTTCTAAAGTTGCTGCTCCATGATCCTTGGCTGCCTAGCCCTAGTGAAAGTTTGGCTGGCATAGCTATATTGGTTAAGAGTGTGGAAGAAATCGTGTGTCCAGTTAACATATCTGTGTTAGCAGAAGTCCCTGTGGAAAGGTAGTTACACTGACAAAAATGTCCTTCTTTGGCAGAAACCAAGCCTTTGCTGGGAGGGTGTAGTTATAATAGCAAATCTTTTCTAGAGTAGGCAAAAACAACATGATATGTTTTTTGCAATGGACTTTTAGCTCCATCAGAACCAATGGCTTTAGAATACAAAAGTCCCATGCAAGCTGTAATAATTTGCACTGCTTAATTTTCAAAAGTAGCCATGTACACCACAGAAAACCCCAGTAATATCATGCTTTGGAAAAGATAAATTCCAAAAGTTACAGGAGTCCTCCTTTGTTTATTTTTTATTTTATTAAAGTACCTCTCTTCTGAATTATATAATGCACAGCAACTCTGCGCTAACATTTTCCATGCACAACTATTCAAAACAAGCAATAAAAAAAAAAATCTTACTCTTTAAGCTCGCTGTAAATCGGAAGGACGGATGGGTGGCACACAAATGCAAAAGCAATGGTGGGCAAAGCATAAACAGTCTGTTTAAACATAACAGAAGAAAAAAACAGTTAAGAAACATGCATATCTTTCCCAACACCAAAAAAAATTATCAGTGTTTTAATTACCTCAGCTGAGACTGCATCTTTCAACTGAATACAGAGAATGTAACCTGTTGATTAATGTGTATTTAACAAGACATCAAGAACACATTTTCACCAATAAGACGACAAACTGTATTTCTCATGCAAAGGCTGCTGAGTCAGTCATACATGACAATTGTGCAGCTGTCTCTGCCACCAGATTTCTTCCCTGTAATGGAACTCTCTCATCCCTGATTAACATCATGACACATTCTTGTGTAAAAGATGCAAAATTACATGCTACAAGGAGAACAATTAATTTTGATTTGATACCACAGGAGGAAAAGTGTGAAGCAGAACTGAACAGCTTCCACTGGCTTCCATGTCTTTACAGGTAGTTTTCTTTTAATTGCTGCAATGACACCAACGTAACAATACCTGTGTAACCTCCTAGTGTGGAAGCTCTGAATTGGTGTAAAATGGGGCTTCACCAAGATAAGCTGTGCTAGTGCTAGAGTATTAAAGGTGGAGACCTGAATGTGGAGCTCACGTAAGTCTGGCCCCATGTTTGCATTAAAGACCAGGTGGAGAATCCAGGTTTAGGTACCCTCTTCAGTCCCTCATCTAAGTCAACAAAAGACTGGGGGTAGTGTGGAGGCAGCCCATCAATTCTTGAGGAGAAAGAGCCCATTATCTTGCTATCAATCAACTCCCTGTGCCTGACAAAGGATGAGCATGAAAGGGCTTTGACAGGACTCATGCCTAGCTCTCCTTGGCCAAAAGAATGGGACCATTCAATATGTAGTCTTATGGCTACAGATTCACAAAAGTGCTTAGCGTTTTCTCCATGCGAGCTGACAAGTATTGAGTCTGTTTGGTCCCTTATGGTTTGCTTTCTTGTATACAACTGAATTCAAACAAGATTCAGAAAATAGGTAGAAAGATGTCACTAGGTTCTTCCTCCATATTAGCAGTGTTGCTTATTTTGTTGCCCCTTTTGCATATGTTCTTTTACTAGATATGAACTGATTGTCCTGGTGTCCCCCTGACTGCTACACATGAGGGACAAACTGAAGGATTTTCTGGGGCTTGCTTCTCTTTTCTTCTTTTTTGCATGACTAGAAAAACATATGCTTGACCTTCATCAGGTGGAAAGAGGGCTCCTCTTCAATATATATCTTGAGCTATAAAAATACTATTGGAGATTCAAAATATATATTAATTTTCAGGATGCAAACTGCAACGTCCACTCTAATGCTCAGAGAAGCCCGAGGGTGATAGACTTCATAGACATTAGGGCTGGAAGGGACCTCGGAAGATCGAGTCCAGCCCCCTACCCGAAGGGCAGGAAGTCAGCAGGAGTCATAGGATCCCAGCAAGATAAACATCCAAATGTCTCTTGAAGGTGTTCAAAGTGGGTGATTGCACCACCTCTGGCGGCAGTCTATTCCAGACCTTGGGGGCTTGGACAGTAAAGAAGTTCTTCCTTATGTCCAGCCTGAAACGGTCATGAAGGAATTTGTGACCATTCGACCTTGTCATCCCTTGGGGCGCTCTGGTGAACAGACGTTCCCCCAGATCCTGATGAGCTCCCCGATAAACTTATAGGTGGCCACCAGATCACCCCTGAGCCTGCACTTTTCCAGGCTGAAGAGTCCCATAGCTCTCAGCCTTTCATCATAAGGTTTGTTTTCTTAGGCTCGTTCCATGGGCTGAAGCAGTTTAGAGTATTATTCTTTTAGCAGGCATACTGCAAAGCATGCTATTTCAGGGAAACAAATACCTCCTGGAGCAGCATGCCTCAGCCTGGTTGCTCTCACCTGAGCTCTGTCATTTGGTACACAGAGGGGAAAAAGTGTACCCCCTCAGAAAATAAAATTAAAACATGGTGATTACATAAGCTGGGTCTCTGTTGCTACCCCATTACTACCCACCTACAGAAGGGCCAAGGAGAATCTGGTCTTAAATGATACGTTTAATTGACTTGGAACATGGAATGTTACTTCATAAATTCTTTGAATTTTAAACATAGTATCATAAGAAGAAACATACCTTGGAATTAAGGATAGCATACTTTGGCTTACACCCATACTCAGGTGCTGAGCTAAAATTTGATGGGATAATTGTTGTTGTATTTGTCTCCATTATGGGACAGAGTATTTGAAACTTCTTATAGATAACCTGGAATAGAATGGCAGTTACTTGTAAAAAGGTATTAAAATCAAACCAAATAATTAATCTTGGAAATGCTGTAGAGGCAATGTTAACCCAACCAAGACAACAAGTAGAACTTACCACGACGAGGAAAAAAACCATGCAACTTAGGGAAAATCCACTTGTATATCCAAGATAACCTACAAGAAATTCACAATAAATATAAGAAAGAACTAGTTCACTTGTCAGATTTGTATTTTTCTTTTTTTTTTATAGCTTATTACTTCACACCGTAGTTGAAGTTATTCCGCATTATATATTTCATCCATTATATTCTGTGTTGAATTTATGGATCATATAAAAATGTGTATCTGTCATTTCACAAAGCTACTAGATTTAAGACAAATTAGAGCTTTTTTCCAATATTTTTTTGGCTCATGTTCATTTTCCTTCCCAGCCTTCTCTTGGATCACTTTTTACTTTGTTTTACTTTTGAAAGGGATTTTCATAACAGATGCAATCTTAATAACAGACAACTGCCCCCACAACACATATGAAATCATGATGTGCATAAATATTAAAATTTACCATGGGATAGATTATCCAAAAGATTTCAGTTTTAATTCCAGTGAGATTTCAGTGTATCTATAGGCACTTTTTGAAGAAAAAAAAAAATCTATGAGGTGCCTGTCAGCAACTTTAGGAACATAAATACCTTTGCAAATCTGGGCCTATGTATAACAGTAATATAGCAGTAATATACATATCCATATGTACATGTTACATATACATCAACCATTGATTAAAATTTTGAATTTTGACAGAAACTTAGATAATATATTTGTCAATTATTTTGCAATTTGTTTAAATATTTTATAAGCACTATGTAATGTCAATTTACTTTATGCAACTAACATCTACTTGACCGTAAAATTAGTAACCTATTCCTACAGTCAAGTACGAAAGATAACAACACATTATTTTGGATAACGTTCTATACTAAGTTCATTTGTTATGATAAATTTAATGTAGTTTGGCTTGTTCCAGGATGCCCAACACAGGGCTTATCCTTGGGGCATCATGGTTCTCTGGATTATGACAGGGTGGCAGACCATTCCATTATGATGGAATTGCCAATGTTACCCTTACTAGAGCAATGGCTGGATACCTTCATTTTATACCACTGATAATACCTGTATTCTTACCTAAATTCTTAAGCAAACACAAGGGGAGGATTATACCAAATGTCACAGCTACAACAAGAACTCTCCCATCCAGGTACCATGCCCTGTAAAATATTTCAAAAGTACAGTGAAATGTCCTCTTATACATCACCACTTCTTCTTTACACTGAATCAACCATTTTTAGTTCAGTAGTTACAGAATTATTTCTGGCTCTGTTTATGCTGCAAATTTAACTAGGTGCAAAGACTAGACAGGACCAATCTCTGAACTTCTCAGGGCACTGGCTACATGTGGCATCAATTAAGTATTTTACTATGCATTTCTTAAAATGTGGCACTGTTTTGAATCAGAACTACAATAGATTTTCAGTCACTGAACAAAATGTTGGTGCCACTGGTAGAAGCTGTGGCAGGACTGGAAGGCTGAAACAATATCAGCAAGCATTAGACATAAGCCATCCTGCTAACACAGGAAAATACTGCTTAATGGGGAGAGAGATAGGGAATGTCTGCAAAACAGTGGTTCAATCATGCTACTGAGGAAATAAGCCCTGCACAGCCACTCCCACTGTGAGTTTTATCAACCTTGGAACTGAGACAATAAGGATATCTGGCACTTGACTCAAGACCTGGGCTTCCAACAGGCTCAGGAGCAGCAGCACAGGATGCACCCAGGGAGCCTAATGGTTTGTGGCGATTGGGAAACCTCAAAATGGGGGAATATTCCCTATAACATACTTGTGTACTGTCTAGTCTAATATTATACAACTCCAGGGAGAAGACTCTTTTTGCTAAATTACAGGTCATCATTGAACCTGGTACAAAGGACACATACTGATGGAAAGAAATGATCCCCCACTTTGGTTTAAGAAGTTGGTAAATGCCATCCATCAGGTAGAAACAAGTGGCACAAACCCAGGCTAGGTAACATCATGGTTTATTACTGTAGTACTCTACATCGTAGTAAATGATTTAAGGTGTTGAGAACTCCCAGAGATGCTGAGTACTTTCAACCCTTATTGATTCCAATAGGTGTCAAAGGTCTTCAGTGCCTCTAAGTCAGGGGTGGGCAATAATTTTGGGCAGAGGACCACTTACTGAGCTTTGGCAAGCCATCGAGCACCGCATGACAGGCAGCCCAGGGCAGATTAATATTAATTTTCTAAATTTTTTAGGGGCCCCCAGGCCGGATTTTGCCCACCCCTGCTCTAAGTTCTGCTTGATATTTTGCAGGATCAGGTCCTAAGATAAGAATGTGGTACAAATCATTCTTCTGAAAAACCTAGTGTAAAAGAAGCAATTAGTCAAGGCTCATGACTGAATTTCTCTCTCTTTTCCCCCCATCTTCCTTCCTTTTTATAATCCCACAGAAGGATCAGGGATACCCAGTAATTAGTGCTTTTATAAACCCATCCTCTGACTTATCTACATGAGGTTTAAACTCTAAAGCCAAGTAGCAAAATAGATTTTAACTTACCAAAATGTTTCTTCTTCTCCCATTAGAAACTTTAAGGCAGAAGGCAGTTCAATTTTTACTATGAAAAGATAGCTAAGCATTGCTGCAAAAAACAGTTTGTGTTAGAAAACAAACAGCATCATATGGCATGAGCACACAGAAGGGTACTTGATCCCTTCATCACATGCCACCCCTATGTATTTTGCAACATGATTCAAGATACGGAATTCTTATGGATTCTAAAGTACTGAATCCTAGTCCTACCATCCAGGGTATCTACTACTCCTCCAGCTTGGTGTCATCTGAAAACTTGCTGAGGGTGCACTTTCCCATTTTCCAGGTCACTGATGAAAATACTGAGTAAAACCAGCCCTAGGACCAACCCCTGGAACACTCCACTTGATACTGGCTGCTAACTAGACATTGAGCAATTGACTATTCCCCCCTTAGCCCGATGATCCAGCCAGTTTTCTATCTACCTTACAGTCCATTCATCCAACCTGAACCTCCTTAGCCTGCCTGCAGGACTGTTGTAGGAGACCATATTAAAAGCCTTGCTAAAGTCAAAGTATATCATGTCCACTGGTCTCTCCGCATCCACAAACCCAGTCAGCTCATCATAGAAGGCAATCAGGTTGGTCAGGCATGACCTGGCCTTGATGAAGCCAGGCCAACTGTTCCTAATTCCCTCTTTCTTCTCCAAGTGCTTAGAAATGGATTTTTTCAGGACCTGTTCCATGATTTTTCCAGGGACTGAAGTGAGGCTGACCAGTTTCTAGTTCCCCAGATCCTCCTTCTTTCCTTTCTTAAAGATGGACACTATATTTGCCCTTTTCCAAACATCTGTGACCTCTCCTGATTGCCATGAGTTTTCAAAGATGATGGCCAGCAGCTCTGCAATTACACTGGCCAAATCCCTCAGCATCCTCGAATGCATCCCGTCTGGCCCCAAGGACCCATGCACATCCAACTTTTCTAAACAGCCCCATACCTATTGTTTTGCTACTGCTGGCTGCTTACCTCCTCCCCAAACCGCTGCAGTAGACTGGGAGTCGACCTTGCCTTTGAAGACTGAGGTGAAAAAGACATTGGGTGTGTCTACATATGGTGCTACGTTACTGGGCACAAACTGTGATGCCAATGCTACGTCACCAAAGTAACGAGCTACCTCACTATAGCATGTTGTTACACTGATGTAGCTCCTAAAAATAACTGTGCACCACCAGGATGGCACAGTAATGTTACTTCCTAAAATTCTTCCTAATATCTAACCTAAACTTATGTTGCTGCAACTTGAGACCATTGTAATCCTAAAGCAAGTACTAGAAGATGGCGCACTAACAACTGTGCTGTGGGGGACATGTGTACATGTGCCCATTGAGTACTACAGCCTTTTTTGCATCCTTTGTTACTAGGTTGCCTCCCCCATTTTAGTAAGGGACCCACACTTTCCCTGATCCTCCTCTTGTTGCTGGCATTCTTGTAGAAATCCTTCTTGTAACCCTTCATGTCCTTTGCTAGCTGCAACTCCAGTTGTGCTTTGGCCTTCCTGATTTCAACCCTGCATGCCCCAAAAATAGGTTTATATTCCTCCTTAGTTGTCTATCCAAGTTTCCACTCCTTCTAAGCTTCCTTTCTGTGTTTTAGCTTATTGCAGAGTTTCCTGGTAAGCCAAGCTGATCTTCTGCCATACTTGCTGTTCTTCCTACACATCAGGCTGATTTGTTCCTGAGCCCTCCATAAGGTTTCTTTAAAGTACAGCCAATTCTCCTGGACTCCTCTCCCTTTCAGAATGGCCTCTCAGGGGATCCTGCCTATGAGTTCCCTGAGTGAGTCAAAGTCTGCTTTTCTGAAGTCCAGAGTCCTTACTCTGCTGCTCTCCTTCCTTCCTCAGGATCCTGAACTCAATTGATTATTTTGTGGTTGCTGCTGCCCAAGTTGCTATCCATTACTATATTCCCCAGCAATTATTCTGTTTGTGAGCAGCAGGTCAAGAACAGAATGGCCCCTAGCTGGCATCTCCAACAACTTCCTGGATTGCCTGTGCACTGCATTATTGCTCTTCCAGCAGGTAATCCCAGGTGGCCAGGAAGAGTATGCAGGCTGACAGGTTTGACCAGAAATTAATTTGAATAAGCCAGATTAATGTACAGATGTACACAGCACTATCCCAGGAAAATGTATTAGTACATTTTAGCTTGCATACTTTTCAGTCACTTGAAGTGGGACAATGGATAGGTACCTCTGTAGGATCCCAGGAAAAAGGCCTTATTCTGGGAGAAATGCCACATCTTGCTTACATCCTGGGAGAATACAACATTGAAGGGCCACATAAAAGCCACATATATATCTCCATTCCTTAAGGTTTACTTTTGTGGGTTATAATCGTCCATTTACCTCCAATGTTCTGGAGAGAAGTAGATCCAAAAACAATAATTTTTCCTGGAATGCCAAAGACCTGCTCACCCAACTTTTCATACACCATGCAACCTAGGTTAAAACAAATGAAGGAGAAATTAAAAGCCAGTGGTGACAAGGAACTATGAAGTCAAAACTGTTAAGATTTCTCTTCAACTAACTGCTTATCTATGTTGTTATTCCTTCTGTTGACAACCAAATGTGTCTGTTCTATAACAAATAGGGGTGAAGGATACTTATTTGAAAATATCCTCACATTTTTAAATGTCACAAGAAGTGATTGGTAGCCACATGAGTTGAAGCTCATAATCGGGCTATTATCTCGCTTTAATATAACAGTCCACCTACAGTCTTGTGACATTTACAGTACTGGCATTCTGATCTTAAGTTTTCTCCCTCAATAGGAATAATATAGAGATCTAACTGAAGATAAAATGCAAAACAGCAGGGATCTGCACTCTGGCACACAAGTGAGAGAGCAATGCTTTAATTCCATTAACTGATTTATATGAATTCAGTGAGGCCAGAATGAATTAATATTTATATTTCCTTAAGATCATATACTTACTTATGAATCCTCCCTTTTTTATGCTTCCTATGAAAAAAAGGGAATATTGATAACTATAATTAAACCTTGTTTAAAGCCTGTCTAACTCAACAAGCAGTGAGTTGGACAGGCCATTCTTGTAAAATTTATCATTTTTCTCTTATAGTTGTGGTTTGGGCTGATGCAAAAACCTTAGCACAATGAACATGGATTAGAATGCAGCAAGACCAGAAGAGAAATCTCAGATGTCAAACTCCACGGATTGTCTCAAAAAGCTGCCATGCTGTTCAGACCTCTCACACTGCTTAGCTGACATTTTCTCTTTGAAACTTGCAGGAACAAAACCCAAAATCTGTTTGAGTTTAAATTTAACTCAGCGCAGCCTAGAATCAAGGCTCAAGATTTTTTTAGGGTTGAAAGGCTACATATATGTATGCATCTAGTACACATCTACTTTGACTGCTGCAGCCATAGTAGCGATCTAGGATGTGAACATACAACATATTTACACGAGTATGATCTGCCTTTAGCCTAGGGTAAATGGGGAGCATACACATCACATGCAGCCTAGATCATTCTACTGTGGTATAAAGTTACCCTGCAAAAAGCATCAGTGCATACATGGTATGTCTGTATCTCATTTCAATCTCAACTGATTATCCCTAGATAGCAGTTTGTTCAAGATAGTATATGCTTTTTCATTATCTAGTGGCAAGGCACTGTAATAACAACCTATGGTTTGATACTTCAGCATGAACTAGTCTGTCTGTTCTTAAACCTAGAGTAATTCACATCAGTGTACAAAATGTAAGTTACTCTGGTGTAGATGTGCTCTGTCTTGGAGGTTCAAATGTGTAAGCATTCTTGTGCAGGGGTATTTTTTTAAATTCTGGGCCTACAGGTTATCTTAGAACAGATCTTTGGCCTATGATCAATGAGGCACTTAACATTAGAATAATATGCGTGTGTGTGTGTGCGCATGCATGCATGTGTGATGGACTGCATGCAAGGACTGCTCCTTCTTCCCTGTATAGAGTTTTACTCTGGATACAACAGCAACACCATTGTTCTAGTGATGCCATTTCATTTCCAGATAAGCCTCAGGATAAACATGAACTCACTGTACTTTGAATTACAACCTACATATTCTAATGGATAATCCATGGCTTTCCTTCTACCTCACTATAGCTTGGGTAGGTTCAACTGCATCATTTTTCTGCTTTATAGCAATAGGCCAAGCTTTGCCCTCTGTCACTCTGGTATAAATCCTGAGTAACTATGGCTTAGAATCTCTCTATGTTTCTACAGTGTCAAACTGATGGGGGGGAAGTGTTTTAAATTCTTCTGAACAATTTTTATTTTATGTTCTCTATAATCCTGCTACATTGATATACATCCTTTCAAGTTACCTGTTTCCTTTGCACATATCAACAGGAGATTTATTGAATAAATAGACAGCAATGTCACTGAAATCAAAAGCACCCTAAAAGAGAATGGAAAAATAAATGTTATAACAACTGAGATCTTTTGTCACTGCATTTCTTTTTAATCTATGGGATAATACTTTCATTTGGCCTAAGCCTCTTTTATATTCTTTTGCAAGTACAGAGTTCCTAAAGTGAATATAAATGTCATAGATATACTCTATATAATCCTTTATGCTATTATAGTACTAGAAAGGAGGTCTGTATAGATGAGAATCTGGGCCTTCACAACATACTTAACAGGCACAGAGTGTTCCCATACTCCATGAGTCTTGAATAAAACCAAAATAAAAATGTCTTACCATGTAAGGAGTGATAGCAGTGGTGAGCTAGACAAGTAAGTGGGGGGGAGGTGTTTAATGCTCTCTGAAAGCTGAATAAAGATTTCATGAGGCATAAGGGCCAAAACCAAATGTCCTTTCTCAAGCCAAATTCTAGGTGAATTTGCTTTCTGCCTCTGAAGTGTAGCAAACAGTGGGAATGTAGCCATTTACCCCAGATGAAATGCTTAAAAAATGACCCTTGAAAAAAGAACCTATTGGAAATGCTTCATGTAATGTAGCATAGGCAATCCCTCCATTGATGGGTCAGAAGTTGCACATGCTTCTGCAGAGGAGAGCAGGCTGTAGGCCAGGATTTCTCGTTTTTCTTCCTTCGCTCTCTCATGTAATGTGTACACCCTCCAGAGTGCTATAGGTGGTTGCTCAGTACTCTTGCATTCTAGTGCTTTGCTCCACCTGGGGCTCAACGGGGGAAAGACAGAGCCAACAAATACACTTTTATGTGCTCAAAGGCCCTTGAGAACCTCTGGAGACTGGAGGCGAAGAGGCATGTTGGGATTCCTGCTTTCCAGTACTTTGGCTGGACAGCTGTAGCATTATTGCTTTCATGGACATTTTGAAGCAGTTAGAGGAGACAGGTGGTGTGCTACATATCTGCATGATACTGAAGCACTCTGAATTGAATCAGGATTTAGAGCATTTCCAATGGAAGTCCGCCTGCACACTTCGGTTCCTGGTGTGCCACTGCCTCTGGGGACCAGGGGGGAGAACTGCACAAGTGGCTTTGCCCACTTTTGGACAGAATGCAGTGAGCTCTCGGCCTGAAAGCTGGCTTTAAGAGGTGTAGTCCTTTGCCTTGTATTAATATCACTGCTAGTCCTAGCCTCATACTAAGGCTTCATGCTATAGGTATACCTCATAGGTCCTCTCTGGGACTTACACTCCCATGGCTGCTCTCAAACATATTGAAGTCCAAGGTTGTGAGAGGTACTGCAGGGAGACACCCCAGTAAGTTCATCTACACATTTCTGAGTAGGCAATCATTGCCAAGTCTAGTGCCTGACCTTGCAATGAAAAGAGCTGAGACAGAAGCAATATGTTGCTACCTGCATTGGGATTACAGTTCCCTTCCTGATCTTGTTCCTGTGCTGTAGTGATGGGGCATCCATGATGTGGCCCCCGAGCTGACAGTGCTGACCTTCAGAAAGAGTCTAGAGTTAAGACAGGAATCAACACCAAGTTGACAAGTGCCGGACACTTGCCAGCACGTCCAGGAACAAGTCAGGCCTGTGGGTCAAGTGCAAAACTATTTGCTCAGTGCTCCATCTCTACAAGAACAGAGCATATTTCAGGCACTGCACATTGTTCTCTTTTGTATGTGGTTACTCCAAGACAGATAATATCTACTAGGGATGTAAATATTGTTTTAAAACATATTAATTTAACCTCCTCTAATTATGTCTGCTTAAGGATTAACAGTTAACACAGCAGCTCCCACACAGCTGCTGCTGGGAGCTGCTCCCGGAGCCCGTTGACTAAGGGGAGGGGGCGAAGAGTCAATCCCAACCAGACACATAACCCAGGTAAAGCCCTGAACTGGCAGGGAGAAAACATCTGTGAAAGAACAGCTAATTGCTTAATTGATGAGTTACCATGAGGCTGCTGTTTTCCTGAGTACTAGTTGCCTTTGCTCCCCCCTCCAGCCTTCTGCTGGGACACTGCCTGGCTTTCCTTCCCGACTTCCCTGCCAGACTGCGCCCACCCCAAGCTAAAGGGTAAAAGATAAGATAACCAGTTATTACTGCATTTATCCATTAAATGATTGTTTAAACCTTCACACCCCTAATATCTACCTGGTTATCATGCAGTGTATGATTTAAATGTATCTTGCAGTACCACAAAAACAAGCCTAGAGTTAAACAGAAAGCTAGCTGCTATTTTATAGGGGTTGTTTAAGCTGCCAAGACAGCTTTTCACAGAGAGGTAAAGGTAGGAAGAAAATGAGATTCTTGCACTGTCCTTAGGCTAGAAATACTTTAGAGCTAAACTACAGCTGTCTTTGCATAGATGGCACAGGGCCAGGGGGAAGAGTAAACTTTTTCTCAGGACCTACCGCAAAGCTGCACTGCTTGGAGGCCAAGGAGGCAACAGATGACAACTGCAAATAGTGTTGATCATTCCTAAGAATTTGTCCACTGGGTCTGCACTGAGTACTAGCTAATGCCTTAGGGTACAGTAAGTACTGCTGCTAAACAGGCTCCCTCCAGACAGAGTATGCCTGTTTGGGCACTAGGAAGGCACATGGGCATTACTGCCTGGCTTTTGCAACCAGTCCTTCTCAACACTGAGTGGTTCTGGCTGTACAAGATGTAACTGAGTCCTTAATATTAAAACTGCTGTTTTTCAGATTCCAAGCTAGTGGTGTCTCTGCAGAGGTAAAAATAACAGTCCCAAACCAGGCAGGTAATCCTATGATCTGTTTTCCTTACCTCCCCTCAGGCATCTCACAGGTCGCTATGAGAAACTGAGAAACCCAGTCTTTTCATTGAAAACATATGAAAAGCCTTTTTGTGCAAGGGCAGTGGTTTGGACAGATGAGTGCCAACAACATCCCAAGGAATGGACCAAAAATGTTAACGGCACCAACTCTCAAGACATTCAAAACAGAAGGAATGAAGTTTAGGCAATTCATAGTTTCATAGATTTAGGGTCGGAAGGGACCTAGTAGATCTTCTAGCCCGACCCCCCCCAGGGCGGGAGAACAACAAAACCCCAAAACAAGAAACGGGACTCAAATGAGTCCAGCCAGGTAGGCATCCAGCCTCTTCTTAAAGACCCCCAGGGTAGGGGCCAGCACCACTTCCCTTGGAAGTTGGTTCCAGCTCCTAGCC